AGTTATGGATCAAAAGTAATCAGTTCTGCTATGCATTCACAGTGGCTATATACGATTGTTTGATAACGAATGTAATAACACAAAGTCTTTTGTTTAAGTATTACAATGCTTAGTCACTCTTTTCTTCATTAAAGCCAAGTTATCATTTTGCATCAATAGTAGAATATTAGTTTCTCAGACAAGCTGAGACAATTGATTTAGATTTTTACACTGAACATTTGTTGTTGTAGTTCTAGTATTACTTTAATTCTGTCCTTAAGTTTATGCACAAATAATAGTGAATGTAAATGGGAGCTTGAGCTCAGTACTGACTCTTAAGCCATGATTTTCAACAGCTCTAACTTCAGAGATGACTTTGAAGACCCTGCTATTGTGGAAAAATATGAAGAAATCAACGACAGAAGGTTAGGTGTTCTCTGATGTGAATGTAGAAACATGTGGTCCTTGTATAGTGATGCTCTTGTATGCTTTTCAAGTTCTGACAGGATCACAGGATCACTTGTATTATAGGAACTTTTGCTAGAAGTATCCTATCATTCTTCCTGATGTGCTTCATCCTCCAAAAACTCATGTTAATGAGTAATTTAGTAATATAGTAACCACTTTCAAAACTAGAAAAGTCTTTCTGTGGTTAAAACTAACTACAATTGAATGTCTGAAATGGGATTTTTGAAGTATTATTTGTATAATTTTGGACATTTGTTTTCAGACAGATTAGCTATGACAACCAGGACTTAACATTATCAATCAACCAGCCAAGAAAATTGGGAGGAATATCCAGTGCATACTCATCAAAGTGGCTTGATAAGACAAGTCCCTCATGGAGGGACCTCCTGGTTTTCTGTACATCATAAACCATACGGTCGATGAATGACCATCGAGTTAATGCCCTTCTGGCATCTAGCTTACTTGCCTCATAATATGAGCCCAAATCAGGGACTATTATGCAAGACAGATCTGTCCTCTCAGATCTCTAATCATATTGCCTAAGTACCATATTACATACTTAGAGAATGTTAAGTGATGAGAATCCCTTTTTTCTTTGGGAGAGGTGACGTGGGCTGGAAGCTATGCCTTTGGAGTTGAACTGGTAGTGAAATAGCAAGGGTGAGCAGTATAGTGCATCACACATTTGAGAACCTATAGGGTTAAACCAAGTCTGAACCTAAGCAAGAAAAACAAGAAACTTAAGTAATCCAGTTTTGCCTTACTCTACCCCTTACAGTGAACTGATAAAGATTTCATTCTGGAAGAGATGGGACATGGAAGAAGATGGCCTCTTTTCCTTCTCTTCCCAATCTTGCTTGCTCCTCAGCAAATGAAATGCTTGTTTCCAAGTTTCTGATTCTGATAGCACTATTACCTCTGAAGGGACAGCACATTATTACCTGCAGTAGCCATGACTGTCCTTGTGCAGAATAAAAAATACCAAACTGATTATCAAAGGTTTTCACATCTGCTGCAGTTCCTAGGCCAGATGAGCAGTTCCAACATGATGACAGCAGAAGTGGTGGATAAATGCCTTCCCTGGCAGTCCTCTCCTCTCCAAGACCGAACTCCTCTGGGCGCCAGAGTCCAGCAGATTTCTCCCCACCCTCCCATGGTTGCGGTGAACAGCTTGTGTGTGTACTCACAGAAAGCACGATGGATGATGAATCTCTGAGCCAGGGATTATCAGGGCCTTTCACAAAGGAAATCCAAGAGCTAATGTTTCTCCCTTGAATTCAATCTGATTACTAATGAAGACTAACTAAAACCTAAAATTCAATGTGAAATGTGATATAAACAGGTGAAGAACATGTTAAAGGAAGATAAACAGTGCCTTTCAGTGTACTACTTTGTATAAATCTGAGTGTATTCAATATTTAATAGCTCATCATGAACTATAAACCACTGAACCAATAAATTAGTCTTTTGTGCAGTATTTGCAATGCCTTTCTGAAGTCCAATAATGAAAGTGCTTTCCTTTCCCAATTAATCCGGGTTGTTACTTTCTTAAAAGTTGAGATACCTCATGCATGGTTTCCCTTCTGTAAAACCATGCTGAATATCTAAGCAGTAAAACACAACAGATTATGCAGTGGTATAAATAATGCAGATCTTGAGTGGTAATTGAAGCACAAAGCAAGGCAGAGTCATGGACTGAACTTTCAATTGCTGCTTGCCAAAGTAATTCTAATTGACCTCAACGGGACTGTGCATGTGAGTTCAAATTACTCCTGTGAGTAAACATTAGGAGGTTAGGTCCTTATCACTTCAGTTTTTCTTTTAAGCATTACTGTTGAAGAAAATTAATTAAAATATTTCAAAGAAACTTAAAATCTTCCTTTAAAAATATCTTTTTACTTTGATTAATATAATCCAGAACAAAATTAATGCCATAACTATTTTTCTTCATAGGCGCTTAAGACACACTATATTTTTCTTTATTCTTCCCTTTTCCCTTTTGGTATTTAAGCCTCACCCTTTGACTGAGATATGGACGAATGGTTCTTTCTTCAACATTCTTCCTTCCTTGTCTGACTCTATTACGGAAAAACAAAACTGGAAGAATTAAGCATCTCCCAGTTGTGCTTTCCAATAGAAAATTAAAGTATTGCAAACAGATTACTGGGCCACAGGAGGCACATTGTGGGATATATGATAACAGCAGGGCTTTGAAATTCAAATGTAGCTCTTTTTCTTTGAAATCCTGCCATGGGTGTAGCTCTCTCAGCACTGCCCTGAAGCTGAAACAGCTGCTTTAGTTTCCTTTTACAGTGATCTACTAATCATCCAGCTGGAAGAAGAGGGGCACAATTTTATAATTTAGTAACAAGTGAACAAAAAGGCACACTGTACTTGGTTGTTTCCAGACCAGCTTTTGATAACAAAAGCACAAAAATCTTAAGAACTGTACTTTCTGTGATCATGATGCTTTTCTTTCTTAGATGCCCTGACAGACTCTGTGTACTGGAGCATCCAGTACACTTGCACTTAAATATTTAAGGTGCATAAAACTTCAGCTATTCTCAGCAGAGAAAGTGACTTTAACATAAGGCTGAGACACACAGTTATTTCTTTCCTGTGTTCTTTTTTTTTTTTTTTTTCCTGCTGTGATTGAGTGGGTAATTTAAGTCAAGTCTCTTAATTTTTACTGAGTTCCCTTCAATAATGTACTGATTCCTCGAGTCCAGCAAGCCAGTATATGCTGCCCTCATATCTGGGCAATTTGGTAGTATCCTGCAGCTGCTTCTGAAAACACTGTTTCTTAGTGTTCTGTGCTATCCTGCAAGAATTCAGAAAACATCATTGTTTTTCTGGAAAATGTACTTGTCTGTCATTTGAACAGTATGTCCCTACAGCTTTGACCAGGAAGCAGCGTGAGGGAAAGGTGAATCTTGTAGCCAGGTGAAGAAGATTGTATGTGTCAAGAGGCCCAAAAAGAAGAGTTAAACAATCAGGACAGCAGGATAAAAATCTCCTCAAAACAAACCATTAAAAGTTAATGGTCACTATACAGAAAATAGTAAGGAAGATGAGACCACCCAAAACCTAGAAAGGAAAGAGCAGGACAGGTACCAAACTTTGATTATAGGGCACGCGTTATGATACATTTATGTACAATATATACAATATAAAATTACTTACATTTTCCTGTTTTCCTGTAATACTTACCATTGTCTGATGAGTTGGAAATGTTGGTTAATGTCAGCTTACATAACTTATTTAACCAATGGAAACTTCTCATTCTAAATCTCATGGTAGAGATCTCAACTTACATTTAATTAGGATCCCTGAAAGAGGTTCTTTGCTACATATTTCTATCTGTTTCAATATATAACATTACTTTTCCCCCCAAAGTTGCACATTTTTCCTTCCAGTTCAGTTCAATCTCGCTTGTATCCCAAATATTTTGAATATATCTAATGAGCGTTCTCATTTACCTGTTGCCATTTCCTAGATTCTCACTGTAGAGAATCCTCTTGCCTGTCCCAAACTCTCTGACATTTACTTCATCCACAGAATTAAACATCTCCTGAAACTCCTGAAAGTTACACTGTCATACTTTCAATAGGTCAGCACAGACCAATATTTTAGAGCACATTATCTCTTACAAGTCAAGAGGGTAGATTGTTTTTATAATATTGTTTCATGAAAGAGGAAGGATAAAGGTAGAAGGACCAAGTACGATTTTCCAATACAGGCTATGCCAAGTGCAAACCCAACTGACAAGACACCGCAGTGTCCTCCAGCAAATTCCTCCCAAGTAAAGTTGTGCTATATATAGCAGCTATTTTGGGTCTGTCATACAGTGTTGCCAGTCATAATACTGCAACAATTAAGTGACTCAGTCACCAATTCAGGGTTGTTTTTCTTACCCATGCACACAGAAACAGCTGTTTCACTGCCTTAGGGGTTCCTTTTCTTTGACACCCACTGGCACAAGCTGTTTGCCAGGCACTTGCTGACGCATCCAGTCACTTTTGCTGCTGCTGCTTTTTAGTGCTGAAGCCTGGAAAGCTCAAACATACTGTAAGCTGCAAATCCAGCAAAAGTGCTCTGTAAATCCACAGAGGTGAGGACTTGACTTTCTATGTCACCTTTAAAATTTCCAGACAAAATCAGTGTTGCAGCGGGGTGGCAAAGGAGAGATCTAGCAAACGCGACCAGCATGGCAAAACAATGGTAAAAATTACACTCTAGTAATATCCCTGTCAAAGGGGCATGGCACAGCTTTGTTATTATGGCCCCAGCTCTGTAAGGATACTACCAGCAGAACACCAGACAGGATAATCAGGAGTGTGGTCACAAATTTGAGTGCTCTCAAGCACATTAGAGCCCATTTTGTCGTTCCCCTTTTATGAACCATGGTATTTTTATCACCTCATCTATAATTAAGTATTACCTGTCAGGCAGAAACTATTCAAATACATGCTCTTCATTTATATTTGAAAAAGCACCTTGATATTTCTCATATTCTCTTACTCATCCACCCATAATGTAATTAAGAATCTTACTTGCTATGGGAACGCCATTTGCTAACCAGCTTATATCAGGCTTTGGGTTGCCGTTAGCTCTGCAGATCAATGTCCCATCTTCTCCAGGAGACAAGACCAAGTTTCTGGGTGCTGTTATCCAGTATGGGGCAGCTGGGGTTAGGAAGAGAAACACAGCAATCGTTTTCCAAAATTATGTACAGAAAATCACAAGGCACAGTCATGGTAACTAGAAGACAACTGGCTAAACTGAGCTGTTGGCTACCTGCTGCATTAAAAAGCTGCAGCTATTTACTTCAAAATTCAGAGATAAGCAACAAGAGGTTCTTTGTTTCATTTAGGGTTGCCTGCTTTGAATCTAATTTGCTTTTCCTAAAGAAAGCAAAATTTATCTGAGTATGGAATCTGCAGAGACTAGAGTGGTCTTTTGATTAACTTCAGACAGCCACGCTCACAGTAGTTAGGCTGTTAGAAATTAATTCAGGTTCGATTACACAAAAAGATTTTGCGTCAGGGGTGAAATTCAGAAACAGCAAAATCCTTGGTCTCGCTGAATTCAATTGGTGATTGCAGTGGGGCCAGATGTTTACCTGAGACAGCTGAAAACACACAGAGAACAAAATGGATGGAATGCTGTCCTTATCAAAAGATATTCACCTGTGTCTCCATCTCTTTTACACTAAATAACCACAAATAGCATATGATATCACATCTTGCAAGTAAATTTCAGATTTTGTATTGATGGACAGATGCAAACAGAAAATTAAACTTGCGTTCTTAAAAAGGAGGTTGAATGTGATCATAAAACGATGCTGGTCTACAATAAACTAAGTGGCTACTTAGTATGCAAAGTAAGCACTACAACTGATTATTGCAATGACTAATTAGCTGTCATTCCAGTTTTTTTTTCTTTCATGGTATTCAAAACATCCTCACAATTCTTATTTGGACAAGCATACTGTAAGTGCTTTTAGAATGAGCAAGACTTCATCTTGGTTAAAAACGATGAAGACAGAAAAACAGAAAAATGTCAATTAAGAGAGAAAAAGGAAGAAGAATATAAGACCGTAAGACAAATAGTAAAACACAGAAGACAAAGTAACTGGGCTATACAAATGGAGAGCAGAAAAGATTGAGAAAATAAGGAGATGAAGAAGAGAGATGGGAGGAAGATACAAAAACATTTTTTTTTGTGTAATGGCAGCTAACCATAGGATCTCAAATAAATGTTACCACTGGAACAAGCTAACAAATTATTTTACTGCTGTTACTACAACATTTAGACTGTTGCTTTACAAAATAACAAATTTTAGAAAAAGAAATAAAGAGATTAAAGATAGTAAAGTCCTTCCAGTGGTAGAATTCAGTCAGTTTAATGATAATTTCTTTAGTTCATTTTTGGTTTTGTTTCTGTTTTTTTACCATTATCATTCATCCTTTCACCTATATTTTATCCTAGAAAGCTTTACTTCAGTCTTGTATTCTGGACAGTGACAATATTACATTAAGGATTATTTTAGTATTACCTTTCACAGTTACTGAAATGACATGATGAGCAGAACCTAATATATTTCTTGCTATACATTTGTAGTTCCCAGAGTCAGCTTCAGAAACATCTATAATCTTGAGAGTTTTCTTAAAGTTTTCAAAAAATGTTCTGTTGACTGGCAGTTCCCCACCCTCTTTAATCCAGCGGATGACCGGTGTGGGTCTGGAGAAGCAAAAGCACAAATCAAACTTAGGGACTGGAGAAAAGGAAGGCAAGAGTTCAATACATTAATTTTTGAACACATATTTTAAAAAAAAAATATTTTAAGAGCCTTTACGCAGCTTCGGGGGCATGTCCAGCAAATGTGCAAAATACGTCAGCATTTGTTTCTAGGAAATGACAAGCCTCACTAACACTGTAAACGACCATCTGTTCTAAGGCTTAATAACTTTAGAATGCATTTGTTTGCTGATTAATCTAAAAACCTTAATGGTTACGAAATTATTACAACAGTATTTCAAATCTTATTGCACTTATACTATTAAATTGATGCTTATGGTACTTTAAAAGGTAGTTTCAGACAATTACAAGTTTATAATGGTCCTTCATTTTAGCAACACTCTAGTGCTTCATGAACGTCATAAATTTTACAGCAGAGCTGTAAGGAGAGAGAAGTCTTTCCTATGAGAAACCAAGAAAAAAATGTCAGTGCTGAGTCAAGTATAGCTACTTGTCACTGCACCATGTCTACATCTTGGCTGTGCCCCATGTTGTCTATTGAAGTTGACAGTTGTCCAAATACATGGAGATATACTTTTAATATTACATGAAATTACAAGGTGTTACTTACTGAGTAGAATGTCCTCTCTCAAATTGTAATGATACAAGGCAAATATTCCCTCACTGAATTTTTTTTTTTTTTTAAATTACATGGTGGCTAAAGACACAAAGCCATATAATGTATCATATTGTAATTTTTTCCCCCATTTTTATCCAGCCATTTTAATGAATACTTTTATTGCAGGGTTGTCAAAAAGCTTGTAACTATATTGCAGATGAAGACTGCCCAAGCTGATGCTACTTCCACTCACAGGTGTGGTTTTGCTAGTGTTGCTGGTGCAAAGACACTTGAGCAGACCACAGCTGACACAGAAACACTGCACTGATGCTTGTATCAAGCCGTGTCAAGCTGTGCATGAGTGTGTCCTAGGGAGCTTATGCAAGTGAATACACGTGCATGATGCTGTGCTGCATCATGCTGCTTTCCTCATGGCTACCTCAGAGCACTCAGCACTATATGCTTTTGTGCACTGTAAACACGTTTACAGTTCCTGAAATAGGTACTAAAGATTTTCCACTTCTGCACTAACCAATCTATTCTCAGATTTCTTCCTGAGAATTAAATTGATTTAAGATCAAAGTAGTTCATGAAGTTAAATTGCTCTTTAGCAATTTCTTACTTGCACATCAACCACCAGAAGCAAACTTGCATTACATCGAAGTACCAATTAAACTCAATTACAATGAGAAACTGGATGTAAGGAGCTGAAGATATGTTGCAACAACTCACACCTAGCTGATCTTCTAAGTAATTATTAGCATGTGAGCAGCTTTTTCAGATTAGGCAATCAGATTCTTATCTATTTTTATGTAATTTGAGAGCCTGATTGTAAATCTAGGAAAAAACCAGGAGGCTTGATTCCTGAGTGCAATTCTGCATAAGCGTGTCCAAGGTCACCCTATGGTGCTTCTTGCTTGTGTCTTTTATAAAAATAATGGTATAACCTGAATCCTGTGCATAGTGTTTGGCATAGAGAAGGCAGAGGCCATAATATTTAATTTTCCTAGTCAGTTTTAGAATCTGCTGATGCCCAAGTGAACGGTGGACTTCCTTTTAAGGAAGGGCTCTTTCCATTTTGCATTTCTATTTCTTTGAAATATCTAAGCTTATACAGTGTTAACATTTTAAGCATCCCTGAAATGTTTCCCTCTTCTTCTGTATTTTTATTTAGAAAAACACTGCCTAAAAAGTAACTCACAATCCTGCTGCAATGCACTCCAACAAAAGCACATTTCCTCTGAGTTCCACCTTGGTACTTGTGCTACCTGTTGGTGTTAGAAGAATTGGTGGCCTCTCTGTAACTGGCTTGGCTGAAACAAGAAAAAAATAAAATCATTAATATATACATTTTATTTTCATGTTTATTTATTTTAATATTGATCAAATGCATACAGCCACTCACATTGTGGACAGAGATTTTGCTGCACATTGGCCACAACTAAACATCATTGTGTTACACAACTACACAGTTCAACAAGTTAGGTTTTTGACAGAAACAACATAATCATATCTCAACCTGTTAAATGCTGCAATTTTAAACACAGACATGAAAAATTTTATTATTAAAGATGGGAGCAATTGATACATAGTTTTTACATAGGCAACTATGCAGCCTCATGGATGGATGATGAGCCTTAATCCTAAACAGCCCCTATTCACTTCAGCAGAACTATTACAGGGAGTACGAGGGAACTGATGTGAGTCTTAGTGCAAGACTTAAAGTTACCAAAAATTTCTGGGCTTCCATCAAAGCACAAATAAAGCAAAGTTATTTTATTCAGAAATATAAACCAAGCGGATAAAAGGTACACTACACTTTGCAATATGCTTTGTTCAATATTTTCCAGATAATGTGAGGCATCTTTTCAGAAGCTAAGCCATTCCCCAGTCTGGCAATAAAGAACCATTGATTAATCCACAAGAAATAAACACAGTAAACAGACAGCTATAAATATAAGACCCATTTCTGACATTCTACTCTGCTGGCTTTTGAAGTATTATGGTATTTCATGTGCCTTCATGGAAGTCAGAACAAGAGTGCTTTCTGTAATAATAGAGTGCTTTCTGTAAATACTCTACTGTTCTTCTATAGCAATTTAAAAATATAGGATTAAATTGCTCTAAAGTGCAGTAGCAGTCTGAGTCACTACAGTAAAATACTGTATTTTTAAAAAATGTGAGCATAAACATAATAAACTCTTGTTTATTAGGGCACAGGATTTACTGATAGATTAACATAAATAAAGCACTTAATTTTCATACAGCATGTGCTATAAATTCCTTAAAAACTACTGCACAAACAACTTAAAAGTTGGGAGAAAAGGGCAGTCTAGAGTGAAGCATGCAGTTGATAGTCACAGGCAATAACTATCTACCCACTTTCAGCACTACTAAGGACCGCTGACTCATTTTGCAAGACTACAAAAATTCAGAAGAAATACCTCTGGTATTTCTGAGTTGTGAGACAACCAAATGGCATTTTCCTCACTAACTGCACCTAATATATCATTCTGAGTTCAGATACATATTTCTTGTTTGTTCCTGAATGACATCTTATTTTTATGCAGAGAATTAAAATATTCTATGCCCCGTTATATTTTAGATCCTCCTAAATTATGGCTTAATAAGTACAAAGCCTCATTTGACAAGGGAAAAAACCAAAACCAGAAGAAATATAATGTATTTTCTATCTGTCTCACACAATATCAAGTGGAGAGTCTAGAACCTCAATTGTTACGGTATCAGTGTTGCTCCAAAGTCAGTCTCACTAAACACACCTGTTAGGGAGGATTTAATTCACAATATACAAAAGACCATTCGACATAGATTAATGTAAAGATCAGCTTAAGCACCAGACAAACAAAACTCAACCTTCCCCTAAAAAGTTATTTATACAGAGAGTATTAAAGTGTTTAGATTTCACACTTATGAAATATGTTAAAAACGAATGGTACATTCAATAAAATATTAATGTGAAGGGCATCTGTTAAATGCTTAATTGTTATTTATTATGCAGCATGTGATATTGAATAGTCCTAGTGATAATGAACATATCAAACTACTAGTTAAATTGGAGGAAAAATATAAAAAAGTCACACAGCACAGAAGCAATCAAATATACAATTTTTAAAATCTGCCCCAGTGTGAAAGGACTCATTTATTATAAGAGTTTGTATTTTTATAAGCCATGCCTTACAATAACATTGAGCCATTAAATATTTGAAATTATCACACTGTGCAGTCCCTTTCTAAAGCATGTATTATCACCAGCACTAATAGATACCTTTATTAGAAACTGAAAAGGGAACAACAGGTTAAGTAGCCATGAAGGTGAAGTTAGTTAACTAAATGCTACTGTGAAACAGGGAGTATCAGTGGGGACCAGCGTAACTCACCACCATAAATATCAGTGTCACTCAAATTAGCAGCTATAGTGTCATTCAATGAATCCACTGAAATAAACAGAATATCATGAAGAATGCATACAAGAGGGATAAATCAAAGTCTTGGGAATCAAAAGGTGACAATATGGCCATGGTGAGTTAATAAAATGATTGATTAATCCATTTCAATAGTTACAGTAATCATAGTAACTTGATATTCCTGGACGTGAAAACCATTTGAAAACTATTATTTTTTACACTGTGTTTTTTCAATATTTCAAATCTTACATTTTTTCAAAAGACAAAGCCTGATAAAGGAAAAAAATTACAGATTTTAAAATTAATTATAGGTCAGGAATACTGAAGATTACATTTTAAGTTTATACAGTAATTTCTTATTCAGAGTTAAAATGACAAAATTCCCTAACATAACACTACTTAACTTTGTCAAATATGACAAAGAATTATGGATTAATACTATGTAAGTATGTAGTTAGGTAATGCAATACCTACTTGAAAGGACTTTTACAGAAATGGGTTGTTTCTGCTGTATAGTTTGCGTATGATTAAATCTTGCATAGCAGATATAGTCCTCCCGAGTATCTTCTGGTTGTACATTAGAAAAATAAAGGTCTCCATTTAGACCCTGGGAAACTCTTTCACTTTGAGGCAGCCTCTGGAAAGCTAAGGGAAAACAAGAACACATTTATCTCAATTATAATACACACTCCATTACTATGATCTGCAGACTCCACATTTGTTCAATTATGCTGTCTGTGGGTTTGTAAGCACACAGAGCTTTCTAAGTTTCCTCTTGAGCTCCCTTGTCCTCCCATTCTTCCCCACTGTGCTAATCTACAATTTACATTAAGATCTTCAGCTGCTTCTGGCTTAATGCTTTTGGGCTGCATGTCTGCTTTTTCTTCATTTCTATAGAAATGGAAATTCTTTAAATTTTAACTTAGAGGGAAACTCCACCATCTGTGGTCTTGGTAAGCAATGAACAACTATGTAGAAAAACTGCAAAAAGTAAATTAATTCTGTGTAAAGAAGAAACTCACCATTATCCATCCAAAATATTATAGGTGGTGGTAAGCCAACAGGAGGTCTGCAGTGGAGTACTAGTGAATCACCTTCTCGAACATGATTTGGTTCCAGTTTTTCTTTCGTCCACAAAGGAGACCCTATGGAAAGTAATTTCAACACATATACAAACTATGGATTGACCAAAATTCCAGAATTTAAGGAAAAAATCCACATAATATTCCAGAACAACAGAAGAACTACATGCATCAGAATGTTAAGTCCCATCATGTTTCCTAAAGATTAACTTTTTGTTCTTTTTTATGTTTTCTTGGGAGAAAAGTAGGTTTTCCTTAAACAGTTTTTACAGCAATGATTTGCTGAAAGTATCATCCACTGATTCAAATTAGTTTGGCTACTCACTAAAGGTCTATAACATTATCTTGGAATGTTTATACTATGATAATGAAAAAAAAGTGATGCAGTAAATCAGAAAAAAAGGTAGACCTTCCTGAAACAGTATTATACACACATAATTTTATTAAAACATGTGAGAACAGCACATTTTAAGTTGAGAAGCTTGAAAAATCGACCTGAAATTTAAAAAATCACATAAAAACTGTAGAAACAGTTTACCATTAATATTTTTTTAGCTTTATCTTCTTTTTGGTCCCAATCTGTTCTGTATTAAAGATATCATAAAAACTATGGAATACATGCATCAGAAAGAGAATAAAAATTGTCCTCATCAATGATGTGCATTAAGGATTTAAACATTTTATTCTAATTGTAACACTATACATACAACCCAATTTAAAACATGATACGTCACCCAGACATACCAAAAAAAACCAGGAAAGCATTTTGGTTATTAAATTTTCTAAGGAATATTGGAGAAAACATGCAATGCATTATTAAATCTGAATATCAGAAACTATACAACTCCTTATAACATGATCACCTTGATGATTCAGTTTTTAAGACAGAAAAAAAAAGCCAACCATTTGTAAGAAAATAAGCAAACTGAAGTGTTTCACGTTTTATGAACATTAAGAACTTCACTTACTAGAAGGCCTTATAACAATATTGTTCGAAATAGCTGCTCCTCGTTCATTCCTTGCTGTACACTGGTATACTCCTTCATACGCTTCTGCCTTCCCACCATTCATAATATTTATGACAAGGGTCCCTGAATTCGGTTTCATTGTTACTTGTGCATCTTTATCTATATCAAAATGAGTTCCATTGCGTGTCCAGGAGAAGCTAAAATAATAAAAACAAAAAGAAAAGTTTCTTCTTCAGTTGCCTTTTGTAGATTGCATGGAGAGAAAGAAGAAAAAAGTAATTTTCAATAATGCATGGTATTTTTAATTTAGCAGATAAGTAAGACTTGTTCCCAAACTAAATTAACTAATAAAGTAATGGAGCACTTTTTAATATAAAAAATCTGGCAATACTTTAAGATAAAAGGCTTGGCTGGACTTGTTAACAGGAGCCATTTCAAAGTCAATATTTAAAAAAAATACATTAAAAGATTCTGAAGTTAATAGTATATGGAAAAAAACTGATTTTCTTCCTACTAAAGATGATACAGTAACATCTGTGAGAACTGATATTGCTAAAGCTGCATTAGCATTTCCATTATGAAACCTATTGTTGAAAGGGTTTATAAACCCGCCTTTAAAAACTCGCTTTGGGCTGAAATGTGTCATCCCAGGTCCCAGCAGGAGACCATTTATTTTAATTGGTTTGGCCATTTTAAAGTTATGCAAGTGAATTAAAGACTGTGTGGTGAGTTTGATTTCTTTTCACTACTCTAATGCAAACAATCATGATTCTTTAAAGGAAATTTTGCAGTCCCATAGACCATAATTAATCTAGTAAATTTATACTGGTGTTACTCAAAGCAAGAGATGTTTTGAAAAGTAGTAACTAAAAATGAAGACTATTAGGACTCATTAAAAAAAAGTTAAAAAGCAGAGATTTACAGTCTGCGACTTATACTACCGTGAACACCAATTTCTTACTTGTGCTTTGTTAATGGCCAAAAGTACAGTTACAGAGAGCTAGACCAAAGCTGAGCACTCACAGGTTCAAATGTTGTGAACAGCAGACTTCCTACTGGTTATATTTCAGCTTTATAATCTTAAACACAAACACTATATATACTTACTGTTTAGAATGCTTCCTAAAAAGTATAAACATATGGTACTAGAAAAACTCAAATTTTAAGTGACTCAGATTGTGCACTGACCTTCTGCAGTAGCAGAGCAAGACTGGACACACTATATGCACTTTGTTGTAGGGCAGAGCAAAACCAGACACAAACAACAGCACTGCACCACATTGCAGTACTTTTGGGAGGACTAGCACGCACAGTGAATCAACTGTGAACCTGTTTCTTATGACCTTGTGGGTTAAGCTGTAGAACGTGAGGTTCCTGTAATCCTCTTCTACCAAAAACACTGCAGGATACAGTGTCATAGTTTTTAAATTAGATCAGGACACGTAGCTTCAAATTAGAGGAAACAAATGTGGTACAAACCCCTGAATCTGAGATACATGAAAGTCGGAATCTTTGCTGCTCAAGCTATGGGTAGCAGCACATGTATAAACCTTTATGCCAGCTGCTTTCACCAATAAGAAGTTACTCCATTTTAACAAACAATTGGGCTGAGAAAGTTAATCTTCAACTTCAGAGCTTTGCAGCAGGTCATCAAGACAGATGGACCAGACTAATTACTGAAACAAATTATTTGGATGTAATTTAAAACTAAGCAAAACTAAGCACAACCTTATAAAACTCATTAGAAAATTCTGCACTTAAATCCTGTCACTTCCTCTGTAGCAGAGGAACAAAATGAGACACACGTTCAACGGAAATTATGAGGCTGTACAGCAAAGTGCTGTACGTGACTCGGATATGTCCATCTCATGAACAATGTTCTTAGTCTCTCAGGTAAATCCAACCCAAAAAAGGCCTTCAAGAGAAAGATCTGCAGAAGCAGTATGGTAGTCCCAAAGTTCTCCAGGTCAACATCTAGACTCTTGAGAATGGCATTGTACCTGCCAAATGAAAATGCTGGGAAGACAGCAGCTTTATGGCACTTCTACCATTAACAGAACACTAGAAAGGGTGATAGTATCACAGATAATCTCCATCTTCTCCATTCTGCTTCCCAGCATGGTAATGACCATGATCCAAGGCAATCAGAAGAAATAATGTCGAAAAAACCCTGGTTATTCAGAAGAAGTACATTTAGTGAGCTAGACCGACTTTGCTTCAGTTGTAGCATAACACTACTGAGAAGACAGAGATGCACATTTACCTTTCCAGTCTCTGAAATCAGAAGCAGTAACCAGCAAGCAATGCCATAACGCATCATGGCTACTGCTATTTCCAGTACAGGTACTCAGTACCTTGAAATAAGTAGTTTTCAAATATTTCAAGATACTGAAACAGGGTCTTAAAATGGAAGATGATCAGGAATCTGATCTATACACAGGGTTACAATTTTTGCCAAAACCAAAACTTAAGGCTATTAAATACACTTGGTAAATTAAGGCTACTACATAACTTCTGACAAAATGCTTATGTATTTCAAGATAAGTCTCATAAAATAGAATGATTTACAAAATATTCAATTTGAATTTTTTAGTGTTACTCTTCTTAGACACTACGACTAAATCTGGAATGTGATCCAGTTCACAGTATGGCATGTCTCTTGGTGCTTCCATAGGCATTTACCTATCTGCTCCTGCAATAATCAAGTATTATTTCATTTTTAGAGTTTTGAGGAGAAAAAAATAGTAGTTACTTGATGACTGTAGAAAGGTTTAAATGCCAAGGATGAGAAGAGTTAAATTTATGCCACTATCTGGTAGATGTTTAAATTACAAAGGTAGGAGTGCATGCAAGTTTCTGTGTGTGCAAGCACACGCATATGCGTATACTTGTCAGTTTACAAAAGCTGCATTATTTTCTTCTAGTTTTCCTATGCTGTTAGGCCAACAAAAGCAAAATAAAATGCTACTAACCTAGGAGGTGGCTTTCCTTTTGCTTCACACTGTATTACAATATTCTCTCGAGGGTCAACAATGTAATCTTTTGGAGATTGCTGAGTTATCGTAGGAGGTTGTAACACTTCATTATGGAATATAAGAAACAGAGAAGAATTGAACAATGTTTTCAAAGTATCAGCAAGACAGTTTTGTAAGCAGAGAAAGCAGAATTGTAACTAGCAACCAAATCGCTGATAGAAGAGTGGGATTAAAACATCCTTTGTATTAGGAGGTTGAAGCCCTCTACTCTTGTAAATCATTAGCTACACTAACCTCCAACTGAGCTATGCTGATTTACAGTGGATTAAGATCTTGGACAAAAGTTTAATGGATATCATTTCTATCCATCAGATTTCAACAGATTTTCACAAAACCAAAGGATACTTGAATTCTAAGTCCAACATATCCTGAATGAACAGTTGTGAGACATATACCCACACATAAGAAAAAAAATACATTGCTTTGTATTTCTAAACACTTTATATATTTCCAAATTCTCTATGGGTGTAAACTTTTCACACATTTATTGTGCTCAACATATTGAATTGATCTACAAAGCATGCTTTTAGGAGCTACTTTTCAGGAGTAAAAAATGCATTAGAAAACTGTAAAAAAATGGCAAACATAGTAACTAGCTTCCAAACACAGTAAACATGTAGGAACAGTCTAGTACCGATTCTCCTTAAAAAGCCCAATGAAAATATAGTCAGTGTTGTGAATTGCCCCAGGAGAAACAAGCATTAAACATTTATGATCTATCAAGTACACTAGAATGAGTAGCACAAACCAGAATTTATTCACCTGACAAAGTAGTTGATGCCTACCTATTTAAAGTAATTTAGAATATGTTACCATTATCTATGCCCATTTTTGCACTAAAATAGTCCTGTTTATGATATTAAGATAGTGAGAAATATGTCTTCCTCAACATTATTAATCTGTTCATAATTTGGTGTTGTCTAAAGGAACCAATTTAATAACATGCCTGTGAATATCCCTGTCTAAATGTTGTAAATTGTCTGTCCAGCAGTGCACTTTACTACTGCTTTGGGGTAATTTCTACCCACCCCAGCAAAATATTTCAATCATTAGATTTAGCTGTGTTCTCATGCCTCACTCTAGCCAGTTAAAATTGTAAAATTGGTATTTTTATTTTAATTCTCCCCTACCATGATACATTAAGTACTCCATTGTACAGAAAGACATGGCTGTCTGTAAAGCCCTACCCACAAGAAACAGCCAGGAAAAAAAAAAAAAATCAGATCACGGAGTGATAATGAGATATAGCAGCCAAGCAGAACTGGAGAGGCCATGCAGAGCTGGGCTTTGCTCCTCTTCCTCACTGCAGAGAGGAGAGTGCTTAAAAGAGAAAGGTGACATTTTTACATGATGATGACTTTTTGTGTATTTCTGTAGAGAGGGGGCCTTTGAAGACAATCTTTTTCCCTCTCAGGGGCAGTTCTCAGGGTCAGCACACATCAGATGGTTACTTGGGAAAAGCAAGCACACTCTGAAAAGGGACATGACACGAACACTGCCCAACATATAGGATATTCCATCTGATGCACATCAAAGACCTGAAGTCTCCACTCCTGGACTACATGCTGCACATAAAACTTTTCAAATTAACCATGACACTAGAACTGAGTTAGGAGATCCCATAAAATATGAGTTCTGCTTGCGTAACTGTATCCACTGTTTTTAAGGATATAAAAGCATCTTCAACTTGAACATGTAAAATAGTATGTAAGTACATATATTCCAATTAATTTCTTTTTTATCAAATATATTTACTCCTGAAAGTAGTAGTAAGACATTGCCCATGCTAATATTGAGTAAGGACTTTAACGTTCAGATAGCACACAACCAAAATTACACAATAAATTTGCTCAAGATATCAGAACACTGATTTACGTACAGTAGTATTTTCTGAACACTGCATGCACAAAACATCTAGCTATGGCAAACCAAATTATCAGCAAAATGTCAGAATCACACATTTTTGGCCTGCAAATTCAGTTCGCAACACAATCAGTATTAATTTTCAGCAGCACACAGCCTAGTTTTTGCGGACAGGAACTTACATTCTTCTAGAAGTTTTGCTTTTATTCCCCCATCAGAATCAGCAGTTGAATGGACAAATGGAGATTAAAGAGAAACATTTGTTAGTTAAAAGAAAATGAGCATTTTTGAGAGGGAAGATAAGTATCTCTGACAACTACATTGGTCACCATTAAAAAGAAAACATTTAAAACTTTTATCACTGTAACCCATGCAGCAATGCCTGAAATTCCAGCCACAATTTCCATTGCGTCGGTTATTACTACATTTATCTCAAAGTTCATGGTATGAGAAACTTTTCTGAAGTGTTGACTTTTTAAGGGCAACCGAGGTATGTGATTTTGGCTTTGCAAGGACACAAAACACTGATACTGAGGAGACAGCAAATTGGAATTAATGGAGTGCACTGCCCTCATGCTGCAATCCAAATCAATCCACCCATATGATCATATGGAAGAACAAAGAGAATGCTTCAGGCTAAAATTACTCTTTCAAAGACAAAAGCACCTAATTTTACTCAACAGACATGCAATCCCTATTGGTTTGAACAGCTAAAAAAAAAAAATAATCTTTGCTGTCACATCTTTATTGCTTACTTCAAATATTTTGCATACATGTCTCCTCACCAATAAGGTTTTAGAGTAAGTTGGCCTGCTTTTGGTCAGCTGCATTGTCAGTCATACCTTAGCTTCTTTGAGACACTGATGAGCACAGGAACTGCTAACCTGGAAGAAACCTAAAGGTTCAACTAATCAAGTAAGTTCTCACCACCACGTCTCTGTGGTGGGTATGTAGGGAAGACACATAGAAAATATCAGTCCTTCCCTTGTGGTGCTCTCATAGAGCCCATTCTAACCATTATGCATGAAAGCAATAACATCATTACAGATGTAACTTTGGTTAATATGACTTTTAGCTAATAATTCAAGTATGTGACTTTATCAGGCATAACAAAGCTATTAAACGTTATGTAGCAGGGAACATGTTAATTGAGACTTAATGTGATACATCTAAAAGGGATACTAATTTTTGTCTATTGATGCATTTCTGGTTAATTTAATGTGAAGTGCTGCTCCACAGAGAGTCCACAATTTACATTAGTTTCTGAACTACAAGATAGGTTTAAAACACTATTTGTAGCCTGCAAAAATATTTAGGGAGAAAAATTGTTAGGGACAGCAACTCTGACGTGATACAGTTACATTGATCTTGTTACAGAAATATAGGTCATTGGTTTGAAAGGCTTGTAAATATGCATGGAGAAAAAAACCACCAAAGCAGTTGCCATTTATGACAATGATTATTAAAGAATAACATGCATTTATGGAATGCAGAAAGGTATCAAAAACATGGGGGTAAAGAAAGCCATGCAGATTAGAATCATAGGCAAATTTACTGATTTATTATCCATCAGTTTAACAGCAGCCCTAATGATCTCTTCTCTGGTAATTAGTTTAACGAATGAATAGTCACTGTGAGGTGCAACATGGTTCACTGAATTCTGAAAATGTGATCATGCTTATCTTAAGAAGAAAATATCAATCCTGAATAAGCATGAATAATTTAATAAAATTAGCTATAAGGGGTATAAAACACAGCAGCTACCATTGCTTCCTTTTCAGCATGGAGTGCTACCTTCAAGGTTCCCACCTAACACAGGCTTATATTAGATAAGAATTTCAGATCTCAGAATTTCCCCTCTTCAAGGCAGTTAACCCTCACTGGTTAATACTAGAGTTCCCTACTCAGCACACATGCTTCTAAATTAAAGTTAGGTACTTAACTGTTTTCAGGCACTGCTTCAGAAATCCAAGAGCCTAACTTACTCCTCTGGATCAAAAGGTAAGATGCTTCCAGTGTCTGAATTTTAGGTATTCGAATCTTTTACTAGATCTCATATCAGCTCCTGTAAACCTCTTATATGAAGATAAGGGTGATTGTTTAGAGCAACTAGGAGTTGTCCCGAGGTTTTCGCCAAATTGTCAATATGATCTTAATTTCACAAATAATTTGCATTTATCTGGGCTTCTCTGCTCTTCTTCATTTTAATCAAATAAAGAGTTAAATAAAGGTACATCGAAGTGTGTGTATTCATGAGAATCCTGTGTTAACCCTTCTCAAGTGAACAATTTAAGTAATTTTATATGCACAGTTTTTGAAAATCTGCAGGAAATTAGTGTAAATATTCATAATCACAACGTCCCAACTGAAGTGAGCAGATACACTCCACGTTTAGCTCCATGTTGGAGTCATCTTCATCCTCCTATACAGAAATTATTTAACTAATCTTCCATTATTCTGCATTTATTTAGCAGGTTAACACTTACAGTCAAGAGGTACATCCAATGCAGAAATAATCTGGCACAGAAAGAGGACCAAGGAAGCTTTGCTTGCAGATATGTTCTTCTTTATCATCATTATTTTAGGCTGTATTGAGTAAATCACACTCGAAGAATGAAGTTCAACTTCATCAGACTAAGTAGCTTGGAATAGTTATGTAAATACAGACAAGAAACCTGTTAAATAAAAGTAAGAGAATAACAATATGTAGATACTGTGGAGAGTTGAATGATTGCATCTTAATATTATGAAATACCAGCAGTCTACATACTATATCCAGGAGTAATAGTAACACCATGAGCTTTAATGAAATCCAAGCAGAGATCCATAAGTTCTTAGGATACCACCATAACACTTTCCCAAGGAAGCTAGTGAACAAGTCCTACAACCTTGTTGAATGGAAATACCAATGCCTCTCCTAAGAAGGTTAAAGCACCAGTCCAGCTAGTTAAAAACCAGTATATACTAAAGATAATAGTCTTCCGAGGCAGATTTATGAGATTAAAGCTCTGAATGCCCACCCTGCACAATTCTTGGAAAGAGTTATTTTATGCATCTACTCCAGTGAAAAAATGTCTGGCCACAAATTTGCTAAGTAAAATGTGAGGTCTTCCTGCAGCTTTGAGTTGGGTATCTAGCTTCTCACGGCTTTGGAACTCTTTCTAATAGACGGTTGCAGACTGAATACAGAAGAGTTCATGGATTGCCACGCTGAAGTGCTAGCTTATGTACCTGTATTTCTGATTCCATGAAAAATACATAACAATAAAATACG